ACAGGCGCGTTGCATTCTCTGCGCAGGTCTCCCGCCTGCGCGCGTTCGCCCACCAGCGCGCGAGATTTATCTTGCAGAACGGCAGCGCCCACGGCCCGCGGCTGGCGACTAACGGGGCCATCGCAAGGTGCTCGATATCAAGAACATTCGTGCGCATATACAGCGTGCCCGACCTGGACAGATTGACGCTGCCAAGATCGGTGACGCTAGATGCCTACATCGGCGACTGCGCGCTCAATTGTATCGCCAGCGTCGAGACAGTGGCAAGAGACCTTGCGCCTGCCTCTCGAGCTCTGCATCGCGCCCTCATGCTCGATTGTAAGCGTTCGCTCTGGATCGATCGCAACTCGGGGGTCACGGCTGACAAGGCTTGCCTCATCTCATCCTCTCCCCAAGTCGCCCATCGGCTTCGCGTGGTCCTGGGAGGCCTTGCTGGGATTACTACCACGGGGGTGGCTAACTTGGGCATCGACGACACTCATGGGAAACCTCGTCGTTCGTCGGGCCGGGGCTCTATTGCCAAGAAGAGATTGGCCATGTTTTACCGTCGTGCCAAGCGGCTCGCCAAGTTGGCGCCCGAGCTTGGCGAGAGATGTAAGCAGATTTTCACAGCCGGGCCGCTGCCTGGCTCAGTGCACGGCTCCGAAGTCAATGGATGCAGCGATGGGGAGGTCCATCACATTCGCTGGTCGCTCGGTCGCACCACGCAGCCGTCGGCGGGAGGCCGGTCGCCTTCAACACTGATGATTTCGGAGAATGATCCAGCATGGCTTTCGGCAGTGGCGCCCGTTGTTCGTCGGGGCAAGGAGGCGTGGATCACTGCCAGCAAGATCGCGCCTCTCTCGCTGTCCTTCGCGGCTCTGCGCTCCACTTGGAGCGCTACACTTGGCAAAGACCTGACGTGGAGACATTGCGCTGGCCCCGTCGGCGCCATGAAGTTGTCTCCATGCAGGATAGACTGGCTGATGAAAGATCCCTTCACTATCATCAACGGCCTCCAGCAAGACATCTCGCTGCCAGTCGCGTCGCCTGCACTACTCAAGAAGCTCCTACAAGAGGGGGCGCTTCGGTCTCTGGAAAGATCAGTCAGCGACACCTCGGGGGCCCCGCATCGGCCATGCTTCGACGCTATGGTCTCAGCTACCCGTTCGTCTAAGTTCGCTAAGATCCAGAGGGGCTCGATCAAAGCTGCGCCATGCGGGGCTACGTGGACTCGCGACAAGGCCATCAGCTTAGGATACCAGTGTTGCCCCAAGTGCGTGCCCTGCGGGGAGCCCGACTCGTTGTTCCATCGGCTCTGGAGTTGTAGCTACGTCTCTGGGCTTAGAGATTCTCTAGTGGACCCCTGGTTGTGAGAAGCCTCTAAGGACCTCAACGCGGGCCCCCTCCTGTTTACCCGAGGCCTTTTCCGACCCCCGGGGGGGGGCGCCCCCCCGCGCTCTCGGAGACTGGCGCAGATATTAGATGGCACGACGACCCCGATCGCAGGGGCGGTGGATTTGCTGGCCACGTTTTTCTCGACGGCTCGCGCCTCAGGCATCCAGCGCGTGAGCTCTCGAGAGCGGGGTGGGGGATCGCTGTTTTGGAAAATATAGATTCTAAAGCCCCCCTGCGCACGGTTTCGGCGCCCGCCTGGAGCCCCGCGCCCCAGACGAGCCAGGGAGGGGAACGCTCGGCCTTTGGGGGCTGCGTTTTCCTGGCGGGTGGCCCCGGCGATTTCTATACGGACTGTCTGAACGTACACAAGCAATATTACGCCCCTGGCTAGAATAATCAGATCAACTATAAACTTGTTTATAATGGAATGACGATGCAAGCTCTGTCGCACGCCCCGCTAATTTCCAGCCTGGCCAAGGCCCAGGCGCATCAGAGTTTCGAATCCGAGCTGCCTCCTCCCGAGGCTTTCCACCGCTTAGCCAACCACGCGGCCGACCTGGCGGCGAAGCGCGGCGCTCCCCGGCACCCCGCTGCCTCGCCCGAGGTCCGCGAGGCTGTGGATCGTGATTCCCAGGTTGCCAAAGCGGTGGCCAAGCTTCCTGCGCGCCTCCCCCCGCTCTGGCCTCGCCTCGAGCTCAAGGGGGCGCCTCTCATCGTCCCACCGCGCCCTGTCGCCAAGGCCCGATCGGGCCATTCTTGGTCGCGGGCGGGAGCTCTCTGGCAATGTACGCAATGTCTTCGAGGGAGGCGATCTGCGGCGGAGCCGACTCCTGGTGTCTGTTCTCACCACTGCCGCGTGAACGTCGCTCAGCTTTCAGCACTGGGTGGTGGACTGCAGCGACGACTCTTTTGTTTGCTTCTGTCAGGCGTGCAAAAGCTACACCTCTGGTCTCAGGCTCGCCCGCTCGGCTAGCCGATGTACTGGCCCTCCTGTCAACAAGGATGGCACGCCCAGGACACCAGATGCCTGGGCTAAGCTTTTTTGAAAGGCCGCCACCCGAAGCGGCCGAGGGTGACCATCCTGTCCAGCACGATGGCTGCGCTGTGCCCGTGAGCTTTGTGGGTGGACGGTCGGCCTTTTGGGTCGGTGGTCCTCCTCTCTTTGCGCGCGGGACTGCGTGGCCCCGTTGCCGGCCACGTCGCCCGCTCTCCGCTCCACGGTTTCGCTCTGGCGACTCTGGAGCGGGAGCTCCTCGCGCCATGCCGCCCAGCCCAGCTGACTGGTGGTTGTGGCTGATGCGGCGCATGTCAAAACAACGCGGATGCCAAGTCGGCTTGGCATTGCTGGATCAAGACATTGAGCTCCTGCGAGTCCTGCAACTCCGCCCAGTCCTTCCACTCCGTGCTCGGCCATTCGACCGCCAGAGCTCTCCAATGCACCTGCACTTCAGCAACAATCGTTTCATCCAATGTTAAGACGGCGCTCTCCTCATCGATATTGATGCTGCGTTTGTGAAACCCAGAAGCACCTAAGATTTCTTTGAGCTCGACAAGGAGCTTGAGGGAGATACGTACATGCGGGGGGCGGTCCATGTTGCACCAAACGATGGCTTCCTTGAATGTAGCCTGCTTCCGCAAGAAAAATTTCGATTGCCGCGTCAGCAGTCTTCCTGGAGGGAAACTGTGCAAACATGAGACTCTCGAAACGCTCGCTCTTGAGGTATGGGATGGGTTGATGAGGCATGGCAGGCCTGCGCTCTTGGGCATGTTGTTCACCCACTGCTCCGCCTCCTCCACTGCGCCTGCACCCCTCAAGCCACAAAAGATGACAGGCTCTGGGTTGCCCGCAACGTGCACGCCGGCGGCAATCGTCGGACACTCCTGCAAGGGGCCCTTGACCAGCTCCAGCAATCCCTGTTTCGTGACCATGTTCTCCTCAAGACCCTTGACGGCGACTGACGCCTGCTTCGCCTGTGTCTTGGCCTCAGTTGCCTCTGCCACCGCCCTTTTTCTACTTTGTCTGTCATCCCATCCTCTGTGCTCTTGGCCCCGTCCATCTGATTCATCCGCATTCGTGCACAACTCGGCATTGGCGCCTCACTTTCATTGTCATCGTCCATTCCTTCCGTCAACGTTGCTGCCATATTCGCCGACTTCTTTTCCGAGGCCTCAGGGTTGCTACCCGACGGTTTCAACTTCCTGCCCACCCCTCCTGCCGCACTCGCTTCTGACATCTTGCACACACAAGAATCAACAGTGATATCACATGTGAGTAACAGCGAGAAGGGTGAGTACAGTAGACAGTACGTTTGACACAATATGCTTGACACAGCATGCTTGAGCCAGGCGGCTGGCCATGGGGTTCTGGCAACCACTGCAGGTAGAATCTCGACATGTTTCGTGCGGTGGTTGAGTGACGGACCGGCAGCAGCCTGCCTGGAAGTGCTCACACTATGGTGTCGTTGTCGTGATCCACCCTAACGCATGACTATGGGAGGCGAATAAAGCAGCGCGCTCCCGAGGGCACAAGGGGAAAACATTCAGTGAACATCGTGTGGCCGTCTTCGGCTGATCTGGCAGGTTCTGTCGTGCAGGCCCGGGGGCTGGGGGCACTCGGAGAGCAGAATGATGAAGAGCAGCAGTGGTAAGTAAACATGCGGCAGGAGCTCGAGCACAAGAAACCTTCCACAAGAAGCCCAACCCTGAGACCCCGGGACGTCCGTTGATTTGGGTGTAGAAACGTCACGTGTTCCGCAGCAAAACCATCGACATCCAAAGAAACCGTGTTTCTTGGCAAGGGTTTCCACTGTAAACATGTGTGCACATAAGTACCCGAGGTGCTGCGAGCTTTAGGCCAGCGCTACAGCTGGTAGACCGGCGCACAGTCGAGTGGAGCGGTCGCATCGTGAAAACATTTGGAAAGAAGTCAGGTCTGCAGTTGTCCGTTGTCTTCTTCCTCATATTCTGCAGTCTGGTGGAGGAGGAAAAAGGAATAGAGGGCAAAGATGGACGGAGAGAGAGAGGGGGGGCGGCGAGGAAAGGAGAAGGCAGGACAGGAGAGAGAAGGCGATGGGATGGGAGGGGAGGGGAAGCGGGAAAGGACGGGTGGAAGGGGCAGGAGAGGGGGGGGAGGAAGGACGGGGAGGAGGGACGGATTGCAGGGCGCGAAGGCGGATCAGCAGCAGCATTGGAAGCAGGAGCAGCAGCATGAGCCAGGGAGGGAAGGGAGGCGAGGGGAGTGAAGGGAGAGAAGGGAGCGGAGGGAGGCAGAGCGGAGGGGCGGAGACTAGGGAGCCAGGAAGGAGAAGGGGCACGGAGGACTCTGGGGCGCCCAAGAGGGGCAGCGTGCAAGAGGGGGGGCTCGCAAATCGTGGTTCGCGGCATTTGCGCGGAAGACCGGGGGGGGGGCCAGGCAACGGACCGAGAGAAGAAAGGAGGCTCAACGGTGTGCCATATCCAGGGGTGATCTCATCGCCCCGGCCATCGCGTCCACACCCCCGAATCACCAACTCTCCCTACTGGACGACCCCGGACGGAGGGAGGAGAGAAGAAGGGCCGGGGAAGAGACAGGACGGGGAACTCTGGCCGCTCGGCGACCAGATGCGCCCGAGAGCGGCCTGCGCTCACGCCGCGACGGGGACCCTGGTCATCGAGTACTCTGCCTCCTGTCGGAGGATAAGATGAAGGGGCCCACAAACACACAAATAAATACACACAAATAACAAAATTCACCATATTTTCCTATATTTTCTGATTTGTTGTCTTCCCCCCCACTCACCATATTTTCCCATGTTCTGGGGAATCGACGATTAATTGTGTCTGTGTGTGTTTTCCCTCCTGATGAGAATTCAAAAGCTTGTTGCAAGGAGGCGCGAACCAGGAGCCAAGCCCCGCGCATAGCCCAAGTGGGGGCGAGGCGCCCGTTGAGCCTGAGGAAGACCCGCAGAAAAGATGGAACGAGTCACGCCAGCAGCGAGGCGAACCCAAGCGCGACGACGAGCGACCCCCCCGAGGCCCACAAAGGGGGGAAACGGCTGGAAGGGAATCGGCGTCGGTACGCGATTCTTCCCCGGATCGTTTTCCCCACTCGATCCTCGCAGATGCGGCGCATCATCGTCACGGTCTCCACCGGGAAGTCGCCCATGGCCGACTCGCTGCTCAGCATCACAGCGCTGGTGCCGTCCAGGACCGCGTTGGCCACGTCGCAGGCCTCGGCCCTGGTGGGGAAGGGCTTGTCCTCCATGGACGCCAGCATCTCGGTGGCCGTGACGACGTACTTGCCGGCCGCCTGGTCGGAGAGCCGGGGCGCGGCAGGGACGGAAAAGGAGGGGTTTGAGAATCAGCTCACGTAGCTGATTCTCCCAGCGCCTCCCGGCGCCGGGAGGCGCCCGTGTATTAAGGAATGGGCCCGGCGGCGGGGCCGAAACCAGCTGCATGCAGCAGATTTCGTATCGGACACGTCCCCCTACAAGGGGATTTTGGACGAACAAATACCGCAAAAATGCCGCACAAATGCTCAAAGATGGTCAAAAAAATAGTCCCCATACTATTTTTGTCTATTTTTGAATATTCCCCCTGTAGAGAGACAGGCCCGACTTAACTCCAGCGCAGACCCGCAGAATCTGCGCGGATCCCCGAGCGTGTGCACCAATTCGTGCCGTTTCCTTGGTCTCCGGGCCTTGGTCTTCGCGATCATCATCTTCTGCGCCATGAAGATCTTCTCCATGGGGATCTCCATGCCCAGGTCGCCGCGCGCGACCATGATGCCGTCGGACTCCGCCAGGATGGCGTCGAAGTTCTTCAGGCCCTCCACGTTCTCGATCTTGGAGATGATCTTGATGGGCTTGTCGGCGCAGTGCTTGCGGCACTCCTTCACATCGTCGGGGCTCTGCACAAAGCTGAGCGCGATGTAGTCCGCATTGTTGGGGACGGCCCAATCGACGATGTCCTTGATCTCACGCTCGTCGACCACCGGAAGGTTCACCTTCACGCCGGGGACGTTCACGTTCTTCTTCTCGCCCAACTTGCAGTCGTTCATCACCTTGCACATCACGAAGCCGTCGCCCGGCTCCTTGACCTCCAGCACCACGGTGCCGTCCATGATCAGGATGCGCTGGCCCGGCTTGACGGACCCAGGCAGCTCCGAGTACGTGATGGCCACGGCGCTCTCGTCGCCCTTCATGGAATAGTCGTTGCACACCAGCTTGAAGTCCTGGCCGGCCTTGAGCTCCTTCTTGGAGTTGTACACCTCGAAGGTCCCAGTCCGGATCTCGGGCCCCCGGGTGTCCATCAGGATCTTGACAGTGCCCTTGAACTCTGGGGCCAGCTCGTAGGCCTTCTCGAGGTTGGCGAGCTTCATGCTCTGCTCCTCATGGTCCCCGTGGGACATGTTGCAGCGGATGACGTTCATGCCCGCCTTCATCAGCTCCACCAGCTTCTCGGGCGACCAGGACTTCGGCCCGATCGTGCAGATGATGTCCGTCTTCTTCTCCACCGGGTTGGTGTCGGCGATCTCCTCGTAGCTGCCCGGGTAGCCCATGGCCAGCTGCTGGAACGTCTCCGCCGCGCGCCGCGCGCCGCGCTCGCCACGCTGCCTGCGCCGGCGGCTCGTGGCGGCGCCCACGACGCCAGCCGCCACGAAGGAGCACGCGGCGGTGGTGGCGCCCGAGCTCGCGGCGCTCTCGGCGCGCGGCTCGTAGGCGGAGGCACGCAGGGCCGGCGCGGAGGCGCGCAGGGCCGGGGCGGCGGGGGCGCTCACGAAGCAGGAAGCGGAGTCGCACAGCGCCATGGCGGGCGGAGGGACAGAAGGACTCTGGCCCAGACATCCGACGACATGCTTTTCTCAAATCGCGGCCCCGAAAGGTCCCGCCCCCAGAGGTGGTCCCGCCCCCTTCCCTGGGGCCAGTTGCTTGTCCTGGACCCATTTCTGATGGGCCCGGGGCCCAATTACAAGCCCCAGAAGCCGAGCCCGAGGAAAAACATCCCGATTAAACAGATCATATCGTCGGAGATCTAGGGGCGAGGCCGTGCAAAAACGTGGGGGGGGGCCTCAGAGCCGATTGAGCCAAAAACTCTGACAGTAAGGGCGTCAATACGGCATGGCCGCCGAGACCTCGAGGACACTAGCGTTGACCCCTCTCCGATGGGGGGGGGGCTTCTGCCCCAGCCGGCTTCCGCCAGAGGAACCAGCACGACAGCACGGCCAGCGCGAAAAGGCAACCCTTTCGATCTCTCCAAGACGAGGCCTGTTCATCTCCGAGCCAGCAACGATGCCTTGACATACCAATAGTCGGCGGTGGACAGACCTCCCTTTCATAAACTACCTTTTCGTGAAAACGGCCTGGGACCGAAATCGACGGACCTGGATCCGCAAAAATGACAGCCGCGACGCCCCCTCGCGAACCGAGAACGACAATTCCTTAATCGACGTGTCAGGGTAGGACGTCTGTCCACCCTCGAGACATACCAATAGGCTCAGACGCCATGAGGCCTCTGGGGCGCCCCTGCCCCAGGGCGGCTTCTGACTGGTGGCGTGGGCTGCTACCGCAGCCTGTGGAGCCCCGGCCCCGGCCGCGCGGTCGACACCAGGATGCGGCAAGGCCACTGCGTCACGAGGTTCCATGGGCCGCCTTCTTAAAGGCGCAGGAGGGGCAGGAGGGGGGAAAGAGGGAGGAGGAGGAGGAGGAGGAAGAAGAAGAAGAAGAAGAAGATGACGACGACCACGGCAAGAATGATGAGGACAATGATGGGAGCACTCCTTACAATCTGAGCAGCGGCTCTGAGCCTCTCAACACCACCTATCCCCTCCGGGGGGCAGGTGCGGCGGGGTGACCACGTCCGAGACAGCGGCGAAGAGGCCCCACATCGACGAAACTGTAGCGAAGAGGGCAGAAAAAAAGAGGGTGCTCGGAGAAAACTTGCCCGTGATGAAGCCAACGGGCGAACAGTCGTCAAGAGGCTCGACGGCGCAGACGAGCACACCACTGGAGGCACGGCTTCGCAAGCAGGGGGGGTACCCCGCGGCGGCCAAGCTCACGCAGCGACGGGGATCCTGGTCATCGAGTACTCCGCCTCCTCGCAGATGCGGCGCATCATCGTCACGGTCTCCACCGGGAAATCGCCCATGGCCGACTCGCTGCTCAGCATCACAGCGCTGGTGCCGTCCAGGACCGCGTTGGCCACGTCGCAGGCCTCGGCCCTGGTGGGGAAGGGCTTGTCCTCCATGGACGCCAGCATCTCGGTGGCCGTGACGACGTACTTGCCGGCCGCCTGGTCGGAGAGCCGGGGCGCGGCAGGGACGGAAAAGGAGGGGGTTGAGAATCAGCTCACGTAGCTGATTCTCCCAGCGCCTCCCGGCGCCAGGAGGCGCCCATGTATTAAGGAATGGGCCCGGCGGCGGGGCCGAAACCAGCTGCATGCAGCAGATTTCGTATCGGACACGTCCCCCTACAAGGGGATTTTGGACGAACAAATACCGCAAAAATGCCGCACAAATGCTCAAAGATGGTCAAAAAATAGTCCCCAGACTATTTTTTCTATTTTTGAATATTCCCCCTGTAGAGAGACAGGCCCGACTTAACTCCAGCGCAGACCCGCAGAATCTGCGCGGATCCCCGAGCGTGTGCACCAATTCGTGCCGTTTCCTTGGTCTCCGGGCCTTGGTCTTCGCGATCATCATCTTCTGCGCCATGAAGATCTTCTCCATGGGGATCTCCATGCCCAGGTCGCCGCGCGCGACCATGATGCCGTCGGACTCCGCCAGGATGGCGTCGAAGTTCTTCAGGCCCTCCACGTTCTCGATCTTGGAGATGATCTTGATGGGCTTGTCAGCGCAGTGCTTGCGGCACTCCTTCACATCGTCGGGGCTCTGCACAAAGCTGAGCGCGATGTAGTCCGCGTTGTTGGGGACGGCCCAATCGACGATGTCCTTGATCTCACGCTCGTCGACCACCGGAAGGTTCACCTTCACGCCGGGGACGTTCACGTTCTTCTTCTCGCCCAACTTGCAGTCGTTCATCACCTTGCACATCACGAAGCCGTCGCCCGGCTCCTTGACCTCCAGCACCACGGTGCCGTCCATGATCAGGATGCGCTGGCCCGGCTTGACGGACCCGGGCAGCTCCGAGTACGTGATGGCCACGGCGCTCTCGTCGCCCTTCATGGAATAGTCGTTGCACACCAGCTTGAAGTCCTGGCCGGCCTTGAGCTCCTTCTTGGAGTTGTACACCTCGAAGGTCCCAGTCCGGATCTCGGGCCCCCGGGTGTCCATCAGGATCTTGACAGTGCCCTTGAACTCTGGGGCCAGCTCGTAGGCCTTCTCGAGGTTGGCGAGCTTCATGCTCTGCTCCTCATGGTCCCCGTGGGACATGTTGCAGCGGATGACGTTCATGCCCGCCTTCATCAGCTCCACCAGCTTCTCGGGCGACCAGGACTTCGGCCCGATCGTGCAGATGATGTCCGTCTTCTTCTCCACCGGGTTGGTGTCGGCGATCTCCTCGTAGCTGCCCGGGTAGCCCATGGCCAGCTGCTGGAACGTCTCCGCCGCGCGCCGCGCGCCGCGCTCGCCACGCTGCCTGCGCCGGCGGCTCGTGGCGGCGCCCACGACGCCAGCCGCCACGAAGGAGCACGCGGCGGTGGTGGCGCCCGAGCTCGCGGCGCTCTCGGCGCGCGGCTCGTAGGCGGAGGCACGCAGGGCCGGCGCGGAGGCGCGCAGGGCCGGGGCGGCGGGGGCGCTCACGAAGCAGGAAGCGGAGTCGCACAGCGCCATGGCGGGCGGAGGGGCACTGGCGTGGGGGTGGGGTGCCTGGCCTCAGAGCTGCCCGAGTCAAAACGGCTGCACACAAAGCAATCACATCTGAGGAGCGGCCAGGCAGAGCGGCCAGGCAGAGCGGCGGGAGAGCGGCGCGCAGCGGGTGCCTCCTGAAGCTTGACAGTTGCATCACTTACACGGATGGAAGGGAGTGGCTTTCAAAATTAAAACCCTCGCCTTAGCGCCACGCACACTCGGATTAAAGAAGGGCATCAAATACACGAAGGAGGGAGGCTGTTCAAACTGGGGCTCTCGCCTCCGCGCCGCGCACATTCGTCGAAGCAACTTGTAACAGACACGCAATGATGGATGGCGGCTCTTTTTCAAAATAGGCTCTCGCATTAGCGCCGCGCACAGTCGTCCTAAAAGCTCGTACGAGCAACAAGGATGGAGAGCGGTCCCATTTCAAAATGGGGCTCTCACCTTGGCGTCGTGCACACAATGGCATGAAACGCTCGCCACAACCAAAAAGACAGAGCGACCTGCTTCCAGCATGTGGCTCTCACTCGAGGCACCCCAAAACCTGACCGCCAGAAGGTCAAACATATCTGAAAACAACTACACGGAGGGAGGGCGGCTCCTTTTCAGACTGGCGCCCTCGCCTCAGACTTCCTCGAAATTACCAGCGCACCCGAAGAGCCCCTGGAGGCACCTCCTCTTCAAACGGGGCCCTCGCTGGACAAATAGCTGCACTGTATGTTTCCGGCTATCCGCACTCGTCAGACGGGGCTCTCGCCTGAATGGCAGGCACATGAGTTGCTCGCCTGGTCAGGTGGGCGCCTCTCGGCGGTGCAGAGGAAGGGGAGGAGGAGGAGGAGGAGGAGGAGGAGGAGGAGGAGGGGAGGAGGAGGAGGAGGGAGGGGGAGGAGGGAGAGGAGGGAGGGAGGAGGAGGAGGAGGAGGATGAGGAGGAGGAGGACGGAGGGGGCGGAGGGAGGAGGAGGAGGAGGAGGGGAGGAGACGGAGAAGGAGGAGAGGCGGAGAGGGAGAGAAGGAGAAAGGAGAGAGGAAGGCGGAGGAGGAAGGAGGAGGGAAGGCGGGGAGGGAGGAAGAGAGGAGCCTTCGTGCCCCTTGGATCTCTGGAGGCCCTCAAGAGGGCTGAAGGGTTTCTCATTTCGGCCTTAGGAGGGGACGGGAGGTTGTATTGCAGCATCGTTGATGTATCTTGGGCTCACCCTTCCACCCTCCTCCTCCACCTCCTCTCCTCCCCCTCCTCCTCCTCCTCCTCCTCCTCCTCCTCCTCCTCCTCCTCCTACTCCGCCTCGTTCATAAATCCAGTCCTCCTCCTACCCCGACTCCAAGATCTCCCCCTCTTCTCCTCCTAAGCGGAGGGCAGGCGTCAGAGCCTAGGACAGACAGGGATAGGGCCAGCAAAAGAACTCGGCGGCGGCGGAGGGCAAACACAAGGGCCCGAGACAATCGGAGACAAGGCCCACGGCGAAATGCAATTCAGCGCAAGCACTACTTGGAGAATTTGATAGATACGAGCGTTGCGAACCCTCTATGAACGACGGTATACGAATTAACCGCCGAAGACGTGGGTGACCAAGAACATGTGTGTCACTGAAGTCGGCCTGCCTTCAAGAGCTTTCGCTTATCCATAGCGGCCATGACCTGATCACGTAAACAGCTGCCTTTTGTTGTGACTCTCGCAGACGCCGAATCGACGGCCGTGCCCAGAACACCCCAGGACCGATCACCGTGGCGCTCTCACGTCGCGAGCAGAGTAGCAGCAGATGGAAACATACTGATATTCGCGGGACCGCATGATCAGTTCAACGGATTGGGAGTGAAGGGGGGCAGATTATTCCGCGCTGGGGATTTATCCATCACCGCCGACTAGGGGATCTTCGGGGGGCCCGGCAGGCGATGGATGTGGATACATTTGGACCCTTGGAGGGGGCAAAATGTATCCACATCCACCGCCTGCCCAGGTCCCAAAATATCGATCCTCCGGGCGATGGTGATGGACAAACCATGGCCTCGGAATGCTAGGGCAGAAGACAAGGAGCAACAACTCACGGAGGCCCGCGCGGACGTCTTGGGTCAGCGCTGGACCCCTCTCCAGGTCAGCGGAGCGCGTGGAAAGGGGGGAGGGTCAGCGCCGACCGAGAGCACGCGCTGATCCTGAGTCGCTTTGCTCGTGCCGTTGCTTGTCGGTGGCGCGCCAAGGGGGGAAGCGACAGGGTGCAGGCCTTCTCAAAAGGCAGCGGTGATTCTCTCTGAAGCCATCTGGCCTTCTGAGAAGCCGCCTCTGTCCTCGGAGAAGGCTCAGAATGGGGAGACCAAAAGGTACCGATACCGCCACTCCCCGGACCTCTCCTGGGGTGCGTTCTGACCAGAATTTCGAGGCGAATCCAATGGTGGCGACGAGAACCTCCCAGGAAAGCGAAAAAGGGGAAAACGGGTGAAGGGTAGAGGTATGGGTACCTTTTCCTCCTCTGACAGAAGGCGTCTCAGAAGGCCGGAGGCCTCCTGAGCTTCCCGAGGAGGCAAGCCCCCCCTGCTGCCATTCCCCCCCTGGGCGCGCGCCGTCGCGCTCGGCCCTCGGCCCGTGGACCTGCCCGGGGGCGCGCTCGGACCAGCACTCCGCCTCGAATTCCAGACGCGGCCGCGAGGGTGCCCCCCGAAGCCTGAAAAACTGATGGGCCTGTCTTCCACCACCACCACCAGAAGTTGGAGGGGGGGGGGAGGAGGAGGAGGAGGAGGAGGAGGAGAAGGAGGAGGAGGAGGAGGAGGAGGAGGAGGAGGAGGAGGAGGTGGAGGAGGAGGAGGAGGAGGAGGACCCCCTCCCCCTCCACCTTACGGTGGTGGTGATGGTGGAAAACAGGCCCATCAGAAACGGCAACGACCGCAGACTGCAAGGTCGTCGCCGCCGTCGACCGATGACATCGTTCAGCGCTTCCTCGGCCCCGGGCACCGAGCCGGCTGTCCGCGCCTCCGCCACTGCACCCTGTGGGGGCGGGCCGCGTCACCGACGCCCTGCACCGCGGGGGGTCGAGTCCAAAGATCCTCCCTCTCGCGGTGCCGCCAGGGGGGCAGAGAGGGCAAGCCTGCCTCGCCCTCTCCCAGTGCCACAATGGTCACAGGGATGCGCGGTAAGGATGCAGGGGCCTTGCACGCCCAAAATGCAAACCTGTTGAGCGAACACGGCCAGTAGTAGTGGCTAAGGATGAGCCGAAGATACAAGGATACAAGGGTGCCCTTGGAAAGCTCTTCGTCCTCATGATCCTATTTGACTGCACGCCCCACACCGTCATCCATTTGCAAAAAACCGGATTACTTGGCACACAATCTAAAAACAGCGGATCTTCGGATGCCGAAAATGTATGGGCCAGCTGGCATATATAGAGAAAACACCAGATTCACCCGCACACCGGGGCTCCCGGCCCTTCCCGGGTGTTCGTCATCAGGGGGAGGGGCAGCGTGGGGTGAAGAAACGTGCACCTTTCGTGCATATGTTGTGCTCCTTTAGGGCCACTTTCCTGCAACCCTCGATCCACCTACGTTCTTCCGTCCGCCCGGCCTTACTTCCACCCCCCTCGCCCTGGCTGGTACAGTCGGGGCGTTGACCTAAGGAACCCCAAATAAGGAACGAGGCCCCTTTTTCCCATAAGTTCAACCTCGATGTCCCGTGGAAAACCTCAGGAAAGCCCGAGGCAAACTTTAAAACATTCAAGGAACACCGAGCCCCTCCCCAACGAAAAGGGTTCCTTCTTCAGCGCCCCGACTGTAAGCGCAGAGTGCTCGCTGCGCGAGATCCACGGGAAAAACACTGGAGGCCTCCGAAGCCTTCCTCCCTCCTCCTCCTCCTCCTCCTCCTCCTCCTCCCTCCTCCTCCCTCCGCCTCCTCCTCCTCCTCCTCGTCCTCCTCCTCCCCCTGCGCCTGGGGAGGTCGAAGGCAAGTCCAGAGGCGTCCAGGACCTGACAAGAACAAACGCCCTGCGCTGGCCGACCCCACCTCGCCACCCAATGACGGGCGAGGTGGGCCCCGCGAGCGCCTCGTTCTGCACCCTGGCCGAACGTCCGGGCGAAGCGACTCCCGTCTGCCCTCTCGCGGCGGCGCCCACAAGGGGGCAGCGCCAGGGGGGGGGGGCTTCGAAGGATTTGGGGAGGGGGGGTGCGCCTCTTAGAAGGCAGAGGGGCCTTTTTCGAAGGCCCTGACGGCTTCTGAGAAAGCAGCCTAGTGGCCACGAGGGCTCCTAAGAAGGCGCCTGCCCTCTCTCTCTCTCTCTCTCTCTCTTTCTCTCTCGATTTCTTCTTCGCCAAAAAAGAGCAGCGCAGTCTGGGGCGCGATGGTCTCTGAGTCTCTGAGTTGACTGCCTCGAGCGCCAACGTGCGGTCCTCAGCACGAAACTGGCGCCAACGTGTCTGATGGGCATGTTTCCACCACCACCACCACTATAAGTTGGAGGGGGAGGGGATCCTCCTCCTCCTCCTCCTCCTCCTCCACCTCCTCCTCCGTCCCCTCCTCGTCCTCCTCCTCCTCCTCCACCTCCTCCTCCTTCCCCTCCTCGTCCTCCTCCTCCTCCTCGTCCTCCTCCTCCTCCTCCTTCCCCTCTCCAACTCATGGCGATGGTGGTGGAAAACAGGCCCATCAGTGCCGATGGGCCGAAAAAGGTTGAAACATCGTGAACATGCAATACCGGTCCACCCTTGTGTGCCGGCAGGAAGGCCGGAAGGCCCAACGCTCCAACATGACGTTCGTACACTCAAGGTTTTTAAGATCAGAAGCTGTGAAGAGGCAAAGCTCTTGGTCCAAGAAGTGGATGTGTAGTAGAAGTACATCAGATGCTGCACCCATGAAGGGTACACGTCCGAACGCATCTTTGCCTGGCATGCCCGCTGCGGCCTCCATCGACACGTGACTAACCGAACACCCCTGGGGATAATCCCCGAGGGGTACGAAAATTCGGGGTTCCGGGGAGATGATACAGATTGCTCACGGCAGGTCACAACAGAAAGACTCCTTGAAAGCACACGGTCGGATGTACGGAGTGTGAGAAATACATTTGAGAGTACGGATGCACTGTGTACGGATGCACGGATGCACGGATGTACAATAGGAGCTCGACCACAAGAAACCTTCCACGAGAAACCCAACCCTGAGACCCCAGGACGTTCATTGATTCATTGATTTGGGATGTTGGAACACTACGCTTTCCGTAGCAAAACCATCGAAACCTGAGAAACCCAGGGCACCCTGGAGGCAAGCAGGGTGATTCTTGGCATGGGTTCCCACTGTACTCGCGGGCCCGCATAGGGGGCACTCTGATTAACCACCCGCGCTTGGGAAGAGCCTCTCTGGAGGGGCGGGAGGGGCACGAAAGCTGAGAAACGGCACGGCAGAGTGGCAGCCCAGGCACGGTGCTGGGATGGCTTGGGAGCGCTGGGGGCCCAGGGACCTCCATCTCGGCCTCCCCCAGCGCCAGAGCCCTCGAACTCCGCGCCCTGGGAGGTGATGGGCGCGCAGACGGGGGAAAGCCCGAGGCCGCTGAGAGCCCCCTCCTGCGGGCCCCCCGCCGCTCAGGGGCGTGAATTTTCGGAGGCTCAGGCGCCAGGGGAGGCCAACATCGAGGTCCTTGGGCGGCAGAACTCCTCCTGCGGCCAGTTTCTCAAGCGTTCCCGTTGCGGGCAGGGGGGGGGGGCGGGGAGGGGGTAACATGCGTTACCCTCGGGGGCAACGAAGGTAATACTACGAATAGGGTGCGTGCAGTAGGAATCCGCCACCGTGCCTTCAGCACTTAGTGGTGTGCTCCACGGCGCATGCAGCCCTGAGAAATAAAGAGCTAAAAGGTTTAAGGGCCCGACCACCAGTTTCACGAGGATTCCTGGGGATTGCCAGGGATTCCCCGGGATTCCCCGGGAGTCCTCGGTGTAGCGCAGCTGGCCCAAGATGGCCGCAAGACGGTCCAGGAGATCCCCGATTCGCAGCACGATCGGTCCGAGACGCCCAAGATGGTGCCCAGTCGGCCGAGAAAGCGCCCGAGACGTCCCAGGAGGCCTCCAGGAGCCGTCCCAAGGGGTCTCCGAGAGGCCAGACTGGTTTTTCAGTGTGTTTCTGTGGCCGAGCTTCCAGGCCTCCACGACGACCCGCCGCTGCCGCCTCCGGGCAGCGGGCGGGGCGGAACGCCCTGCGCCGCGGGGGGTCGAGCCCCAAGACAGGGAGAAGAAAAAGGCGGCAATAAACATAAACTTTTGGCGCTCCGCGCGGATTGCCTGGATCTGCGCTGGACACCCCTCCCTGGCGCCGCCGGGGGGGCGGGGGGGGCGCCAGCGCGGATCCAAGAAATCTGCGCGGAGCGCCGATAGTTTGTGGTTATGGCGCTTGTATTCTTCGAGCGATCCTCCCGTTCGCAGCGTAGAGATCAAGCTGGGGCGAAAAACGGCTCGAGCCTGCTCCCAGTCACCTGTACACGACCTGGACAGAACTGCAGCCGACCCGAAGGACCAGGCAGCGCGGCCGCACCCCCAGCGCCCCCAGCGCCGCGGGGGGTCGAGCCCCGTAATCTTCCCTTTCCGGCACAGGGAGCGCAGGGGCGAGGCGCGCCGACGTGAACGTTCCAAAATTTAACGTGAAGATCTTCCATATCAGCGGATGAACGTGTCAACGTACCCCAAGACACGCTTAGCATCGAAATTCCACATTGATGCCGATTGATTCCATGCTCACTCACGTCAAGTGCTTTGTCGCAACAGCCGGCAGTCACGCAGGGCATCTGCTCAAAGCACCATCCTGCAGAGCCAGGAGATGGTCCACACCCACAGCCTCTGGAGTCCTGTCCCAGATCCATGGGGAACGGTGGATATGAACTCTTCTCCCGCCCTCAGGGGCGGGCAGGAATCCATATCCACTACTCTCCGAGAGGGGTTCAACATTCTGGAGCACGCTCCGAGGCTGTAGGCACGAAGTAGTCTAAGTCACCCAGCTTCGCGCAGCGCTTATCTTCAAGACCCTGCTGGGTGACCTTGGAGAAGGGAAGCTTTCCGGCCCAGGCTGCGCCCCTGGGGGGTGACCCAGACACTGTCTGGCGGTGGACCATCCTCTCAAGCGCCTGGTTGGGCACGCGCGTCAGCCAGCGGTGGTCCAGTGCGGGGTTCGCGCGCTCGGCCTGACGCTGCTTCAGCAGCCGGTAGCGGTTCTCCACGAGGATCCTGTTGGCGTATCCGATGCACAGGGTGCGGGCTACCTCCGGCCTGACCGTGGCGCGCCCGTGCAGGGTGCGCCAGTTGTTGGTGACGACCACGCTCCCCTCTTGAGTATCGTTTGACCGATCTCCATCCCCAGCGGCGTGGCCTGGGCCCCTCTGGCCGATCTACCCCCCTAGATGGGGACAGAGGTCGTTCCCTTCGAGTTTCGAGGGGTGTATCCCCAACGGGGGTGATAATTTGGTGGGGGTCTCGAGGGGGATGGGGATGGGGACGGGGATCGGTTAAACGATATCGACCTCTGGCCAGTCAAAGTGGTGGACGAAGCGCGGGTCCTCGCACAGCTGCGACCACAGCCTGTATGCCGCCATGAAGGGCTCGTACACGGAGAAAGGCAGAGCGCAGACTCCGCGCTTGGTCTCCGACTGGACGACCTTCTCCAGGCGCCCGCTGCCGTCGAGGACGATTATCGGGTGCGTGTGGACCAGCTCGAAAGGGACGCCCCGCGAGCCAGGGTCTGCCGGGTTGCGGGGGGAGCCGTCCGCAGTGTAGAGCTCGTTGCGGGAGCTGTGCGTGATGTTCACCGTTGTCAGCAGCTCGTAGGCATCCGGGTGCTCCAACCTCATGTGCTCGGCCAGGGCAAGGCCGTCGGCCACCTTGCTGCGTACGTGCCCCTGAGCCTGGTGGAGGAACTGCAGAAAGCCAGGCGTGCCATGGTACACAGCGTGATCGGTGTGCATGGACAGCGGGTTCGAATGGTCGTAGTCCAAAGAGTGGGGCTGCGCCATTTTCTGCATGAAAGCGTACCTCGTGCTCCTGACCGGGTGCTGGTTAAGCCTGCCGAGTATCTTCTCGCAATGAGCCTCGCGCGAGGCCACGGCCAACGGCATCCTCCATCATCGCCCAACTCCTCACCTACAGAATTGGCCCTCAGAATGTCCGAAACCCCAGAATCCACTGAAACAGCCTGACACGCTCTACCGATCCTTTCTCGCACTCCTTCTCTCCTCATACCTCCTCCCCTCCCCTCCCATCCCCCTGCCTCACCTTCTACTCATCCTCTCACTGCTTAGTTACCTCAAGACAGTGCTTTGGGCGGGGGTACGTGCCAGGGCGCCTCCTGCCTCCTCCCTCCTCCTCCAACGCCTCCTCCTCCCCCTCCTCCTCCTCCTCCTCCTCATCCTCCTCCTCCTGCCCCTCCTCCTCCTCCTCCTCCTCCTCCTCCTCCGCCTCCTCCTCCTCATCATCAACATCCACCCCCCTGCCTCATCCTTCGCTCCACCAAATCCCTTCTCATACTCCTTCTCCTCATCCTCCTCCTCCTCCGCCTCCTCCTCCTCCTCCTCCTCCTAAGCGCTCAGAGGCTAAAGCTTAACTCGTTGTGTTTTTTCCCTGGTAGTGTTCAGAGGCGCAGATTTTCCCTGGCCCCCGCAGAGCTCCCACATTTCATAACTTGCTGACGCTCCGCGGCCCCCTCAGGGTTTTCCTATCCATCCTCAGGCGTGGTCGACTCGGACGCGCTCTCAGTGGCCCTCATCTATCATCCCTCCTTTTCCCTCGTCCTTCCTCAAACTTCCTCTTCCTCTTCCTCATAGTATTAGTATCAGTATGGTTATTCGTGATAACCGTATTAGTACTATGCTTATGCTTATTGGTATTGATAATCATTTAATGTTTCGTAGTACTCGTATTGGCATTCCTCTTGTTATTGTTATTACTCCTCTTCCTCCTCCTCCTCCTCCTCCTCCTCCTCCTCCTTTTCCACCGCCTCCTCCTCCTCCTCCTC